AGTAGGGCGTGGGACAAGATGTACAGGGTTGGCCATAATTATAGCGACAAGACTTGCTGCAGTTAGCGTACATTCTATCGCGCACATAGCGCGCCAGTTTTATGGATTTTTCAATCTCATCATTTTTTCTAACTCCTGTTAAAATTTGGTTAAATTTGGTCCATTCATAGTGAAATGGTGAAGCCTTCTCCTGATCGTTCCGCTATCGTTCGTCTGCACAAAGCCGGCCGCCCACCCGCCACGATCGCTAAGCACCTCGGCATCCACCGCAGCGTCGTGTATCGCACACTCCAACGTTATCGAGACCTTGGTGGACTCCAAGACCGCCGAAGAAGTGGAAGACCTCGTACTGCTCGCACGCCGAAGGTCGTCGAGGCCGTCAGAAAGCGGATAGCAAGAAACGCGACTCGGAGCATCTCGACGATGGCTCGCGACATGGGAATCTCGCGGAAGTCAATGGAAAGGGTCGTCCACGAAGACCTTAAGATGTACCCCTACCGTACTCGGAAGGCTGCTATCCTCAGCGCCTCGAATCAGCAGGCGCGAGTCAAGAAGTGCCGACAGCTTTTGCTTCGGACGCGCAACAAGGGCCACCATTCGATCGTCTTTTCGGATGAGAAGCTCTTCACCGTCGAGCAGCAGTTCAACGCTCAGAACGTCAGAGTGATCGCAAGGAATGCCGAGGAAGCCGACAAGAAGGGAAGAGTCGTTCACCGGGCCGCACACCCTGCCCAAGTCATGGTTTGGGCAGGGGTGTGTGCCTCGGGGAAGACGCCGTTGATATTCGTCGACCCCGGCGTCAAAATCGACAAAGATTACTACCTGAAGACGATTCTGGAAGATGCTCTACTCCCGTGGGCGAATTCCCACTTCAACGGCCGCCCGTGGACATTCCAGCAAGATTCGGCGCCCGCCCACAAGGCCAAGGTCGTCCAAGCGTGGTGCAAGAGCGAACTCCCCGACTTCATCTCGCTAGAACGGAACTGAAAAAGGTGATTCAAAACTACCGTTCTTGTCGAATTTTTTTTCACTTTTTTTAAGATTGTTCAGCAAATAGCCCCATCTTTGTGGTCCCTGCATGGCCCCCTAAATCATGCAACAAACCGTTTCCGAAAAGCTCACCATAATCTGACCAAACTCCCTTGTAAGGGAGAAACTTGTGAAGCGGCTGCCGCCATTCACCTTCATGTACACCAAAATATGAAGTCATCTCCAGTCGCGGCCTGAGTGGAGAACGCCTTTGGAATTCACGTGGCCTCCAAACAGCTGCGGAACTTCTTGAATGGAATCACCCATGGATAGCTACCTGGAGACCAGTACTCTTGATCTGCAAGACCTCAAACATCGAGCAGCTCCGGCAACGTCGCTACGGTCCAGGACATCATCTTCACCCCATTCACCAAGGCGCGGGTTGATGGTGTGGACCGGCCGTACCTGGAATGGATGAACCGATATTTTCTTCGTGGGCCCCAGACTGAGGGTGTGCGCTGGTGGCTACATCGAGCAACTCGAGGAGAATATCCCATCTTCATGTCGTCGCCCGTACCTTCTTGGAAACTTTGTACTGCTACAGGATTGGGTGACAACACATTTAATCGAAGGGCGTTGGAAAAACTTTCGCCTACTTGGAAGAACGTTGAGTACCTGGAAAAAGATGGGTATTAAAGCGGGGGTCCTGAACTAAACCCCCTCAATTACTCTCAACAGGGTGGTCTACAGTGGCGGAGAAATCAACGATCTCGCTCAACTCCGGTACCCACTCACTTTCGCGCCCTCGTCACTCGAAACAAGAAACCATGCAGAGTTTGATGATTTTTCAAAGGTGGGCGGAGCCTCTCACGGTGGGCGGGCAAATTAGAGCATCGCAAGACAGCAAAAGTGAAAAAAAAACTTGGAGAAGAATAAGAAGAATAAGGTGCCTAATAAAATTCGAGAATTTATGGACGCGCTGACAAATGGGCGTGGCCGTTGGGGCGGGATGTGGTTGATTAATTGCGGGGCTTGCTCCAAAATTCCTCCTTTTAAACAAATTCCGTAGTTTCATCGCAGAATGTGTAGCATTTTTTCTGTACTTTCAAACATTGTGTACTCTTTTTAGCTTCTTATTGTCGCGCGAACATTTGTTCAAAGTGTAGGCGACCGCGTACCTTGCGCTGCGTACAAATCCTTGAGCTCATCCCTCTTTGAGACCCCCTTTAGCTTGAGGAAGGGAGCTCCAGCACTACTTGTCAACTGAAATGCTCACCTTAAACTGACCAGAAGATCGCCAGTCAGTGAAGAAGCGAAGGCAGTGCTGACATGAAGAAAAAGCATGGCCAACCACAATCGGTGAACTGAAGTCCCATTCTCTCAATAAAAATAGATTCGCTAGAAATGATGGACTGGCCTTAGCTTCGATAGCGGAGTCTGAGAATTGTTTGCGGGAGCATCCAGAATGTATTGATAGGGTACTAAGGTCACTGAATACATAACGACTACATCGCGGTCAAAGGGACCATGGAAAAGGGCATACGAGATGCAAAGAGGGCTACGTCGCGTGGAGGAACAGTTGGTCCAATCTAGAATATTCCATGATTAAACGCAGCAACAAAGCAAATGTAAGCTGAGTGGCTTGACTCAAGGGAATCCCAGGAAGAGGAAATCCGGAAATTTTCTCTAAAACGCATCACCGTTTACAACGGAATATTCACTGCAGGTAATGAGCCTCTTATTATAGTCGACACCGAAATGACCAATGTTCGGGCCTCTCATAGGCTTTGAAGACAGTTGAGGCCAACTGCACAGTGCAATCCCTGGATTACCTTTTCAAACTAGTGGAATTGAGTTCATGAGGGAATATCGGCGATGGCGTATTTTGGTTGGAATGTCCTAGGCTCCTCCAATAGAGAGCTATTCGACGTTCCATAGAAGAGAAACAGGAGAGTAAAAAAACCGTTTCAGACACTCACTAACACGTACATAACAATGTTCTGTACGATTTGTGATGACACTAAAACTCCTGCCCGCCGCATTACTGACTACATGAAGGTTCTAACAAGGGAATGGTTTGAACTTCCCATGGAACTTTGAATGGAGACCTAGGTACTTCGATAGAGCCTCGAATGCTATTACGAATATGCAATTACCAAGTGCTAACGGGACTCCAACGAGATACTGGCGGTGGTCAAAGTTTTGAGCGTTCTGCGCTCGTCAGCGCTGCCTGATACAATGCTTCGTGCCAGTGCACGCTCTCGTGTATATGGTCTCAGCTTTCCAAGTCAAACGCATGCGGTTGCATCGCGTTGGGGCGCGGAAAAACATTTTTCCTCACGGTCCGTAAAGAGCTTAAACTCTAATTTTGCGGAAATCTTCGAATATTACGGCCCAGCCACGACAAGTAGATCAAGCAACATCAATTAGTACACACTACTTAGATTCTATATAGATATGGTCATATCTGCCCTCTCTGAACATATACCATCTGGAACAATCTCACACTTTTTTAAACAGAGAAATCATTCATGGGAGCGTAAACCCCGCTAAACGACGTAATATCAACATCTGCGACAAAAAAACGCCTCGTCTGGCACAAAACTAGCGATTAGCTGAGCAAAACTTTTGAATGGTCCGGGAACTACTGGAAATGTTTAGAGACGTCAGATATACCGCATCTATACTTTAGGTTCCAGTCACGTCCAGTATCCACTTGGCACACGCTTACTTTTGATCTACTTTGCCACGCTGCCGGTAAATTTTGTTTCCTCTATAGAATTATTTTGAAAAATTAGTATTTTTTGAAAGCTCTTATACGGTAGCCAATCCAAAAAGATTTTTATTTTTGCTCCATACCGTATTTGCCGACACCCCGCATCTTTTAGCTTGATAATTGCCGAGACCTCATTTACCACTGATGTGGCCACGTGCCGGGCTGCACGCCCGCATGTATCAGCCAGCGTTACTGAGCAGACTCAAACTTTGACTACCTCACATCTTCATCCTGTGTGATCTGTTCCCGTGGTAGATTCTCTTATAGTTTTCTCTGAACATATTACCCATCCGACAATTCAAAGTTTTAGCGAGAAATTCGTTCATGGGAGATTTCGACCCCCTGAACACGAATATCACATCCTTCGACGAAAAAACGCTCGTCTGGCCAAATTGCGATTCTGGGCAAAACTTTGAATTGTCGGATGGGTAATATGTTCAGAGAGGGCAGATATGACCAAATCCATACTAGATCGAGTACGTCGTATACTTGATGTACTTGATCTACTTGCCCTGCTGGGCCGTAAATTCGGAAGAATTTCGAAAATTAGAGTTGAAGCTCTTATACGGAGCGAAGCAAAAATTTTCGCGCCAACCGGATGCAAACCCGCATGCGTTTGACTTGAAAGCGAGACCATTACCACGAGGCCACGGTGGCACTGCCGAGGCATCGATCAGCAGCGCTTACGAGCCAGAACTCAAACTTTGACCACCCAGATCTCGTCTGGGAGGTCCCGTAGCACTTTTAATCTGCATATTCGTAATCAGCATTCGAGGCTCTATCGATGTACCTAGGTCTCCATTCAAAGTTCCATGGGAAGTTCAAACCATTCCCTTGTAAGGTGTATAAATCTAAGATGCCTTGGAAGGCTATCAGTGTAGAAGTCGACGTTTTTATTCTCTTAGACGAGTTTATTACTGATTAGCAGCATGGAAACCTCGTTTGGTTTGGGCGGGAGCTGATCGGAGGTTTAAACCTCCAGATCACGCGCATGGTTAATGGCGCCACTTGCCACTACACTACCATCGCTCCATCGAAATTTCAATATTGTTCTGTTACAACATTACATTTTCAGCTCCTGACCCTAATGCTGGTGTTCAAGATTATCATCCTACTGTACAACCGACCTCGATGACATCTAGCAGTCCTACAGTTTTGAAGCAATATGCCTCCCCTAAAATATCATTTTACCCAGAACATAGTGGGAAGCATAACCCTCATTTTTTTCTGATCTTCGCCTTTTCAGCGTTCCCACTCACTCGAAATTTCGCGCTAAAATGAAAGTTTTTGCGTTCCACTAATTGTTATCGCTAAAATTGGAGTGTCAGGTAGACGAAATTAGGCATGTTCGACAGCCTCCCTCTTTTACTTCTAATTAAAGAGCTAAAACCGCAGCTGCTGAGTATATGACCAAAAGGCTGTGTCACTTTGGAATGCTTTTAACGGTTGGGTGATTCGAAGAATGCAATCTCAACCTCGCCGACATGCATCTCACCTGATACCCTATTGAATCTAGCTGCGAGCCAATGAAACACCAAGTTCACTGCTTGATCCCGACCACCTCACTTTCAACAAGTGTGAATGAAATGCGTTGATGGTAATTTTTGAGTCGCCGTAGCGTTTGCCGTTGAACAGCGCCTTCGAATGACCAGCAAGGTGAAACTGGGACGAAGGAGAAATGAATAAGGCAATAAGCAGTTGGGGCCTAGCATCGCGATAAGCTGTTATTTCTTTCTTGTACTTGTAAGGTACCATCCATTTGTTGACCTGCCCTTGGAGAGACAGGCAGTGGACACCGACAGCAACAATTTAGTTTACCCGATCCGAGCGACTTCTTATCTGCATTCATCCACAGCTGACGCTTGTGAGTTTGGGCTCGGGGTGTAAGACCAAAAGCACTTCATCTTAGGCCAGGGTCCGCTTCCACGGTCGCAAATCATGTCTTATGAGGAGAACATTGTTTGTCCAGGCATTAAACTGGTTTTGGGTTTGTGCTTCGGATAGAGAATGAGGCCCCACACCCTTTGACCATCCTCAATTTTCGGGCATAACTTCTCTAACATATCAGCCGCTGGCAAGCTCGAGGGCCCTGTCTCGGGAACAGAGAAGCGACAATCGACTTCATCGCTTCACTCGCTTTCTTGGCAGGATGACGTTAAGGGGGCACTCATCGACCGAAACTTCCTTTGTTCATCCTTCTCTGAATCTTTACATCAAAGCTTCCACATGATGTTTCGAAAAAGCATTCTATGCAACTATGATTCCACTTCATTATCCATGGGAGCACTGTATCTCACTTTCTCTGTATGACTCCCGATTCGAGAATCCAACGATGGTTTAGACCACTGAAGTTCTTTTTCTAATCTCTTGTTACTTTCTTCTGTGGCCATGTCGACCAAGTATTGCTCATACGTAGCTAAAAGTACTAGCAACAATCGATAAGAGTCCATTGTTGCGTAGCCCATCTGTCTTCACGCCAGTTTTCTATTTCTCTCCTTGTCGTATAACAAGATAACCTTATATACCATTTTCACTTTAAATCGGACACTTTTCAAACCAAATCGGACACTTTTCAAATCAAATCGGACACTTTTCAAATCAAATCGGACATTTTGCAAATCAGAATGGACACACCCCTTGAGCCGGGCACTTGACAAACCAGACAATATTAGGCACTCCTGCAAGTCCCGTCCACACCCCTTCCCCTTTTTTCCTTCAGCGCGGTCAACATTCGCTTTGAAAACTCGGCTCCAGTGACCTTTTTGTACTTTTGCTAATTTTTGCTATTTCTTTCTGCTATACCCACTTCTACATTGTCCATTTCACATTCATTCATCACAAAACGAATATACTCATAGATATGCATTTATGCACTGGAACACTAGGGACCGCCCCTTTGGACCAAGCCCATGTTTGCGTTTTTAATCTTTTCGGAACTTGCGCTGTTTTAGATTGTGCCAAGCAGCTCCGCTCCTCTATGAGAAGCCCCACCCACTCTTGAAAAGTGGTTCAGATCGACAGGGTAGAACACCGGCAGATTTGTCCTCCCCCTCGTCCAGAACAAATCAAAGAAAATTTGTTCCAAGTGACGAGAGAGACAATAACACCACCATATGCACCCCTTTTCAACACATTGACGACCGTGTGATGATTTTTGATTCATGATCTTTCGTTTGGTTTCTCACATTAATTCTAGTTCAGTCCTTAGTGTACTTGTACAATGCGTAGTCTATGGTCACACTAGTTTAGCAAATGCTTCTTGGGGAGAACACCATTTGCTTGGACTGGTTTGCTCCTCAACTCTGGATTGGTTTGCTCTTCAACACTTTACTAACAAATGCAGATAAATACCATATTGATAATGATTAAAAAATATAAGATGAAGTGATTCTGAGTCCTGAGCACGACTTGTGTTTTTTTATGAAAACATTGGTTACAGACAAATTTCTGGCACCTAGTGCAACGAGAGTTGGCCAGCCTAGTTTTTTCCATAGTGAATGATTGACTTACTTCATAATTGCTCTCTAAACCAGGTTTTCCGATCCAATCTCCAAAAAAGCGCCTCGTGGGACCGCGTGAATTGTATGCGTACCGCGCTTTTGAGAAAGCGCGCGTGTCCCACGAGGCCGAAAAAGTAAAAACCTGCGTGGTTGTCAACGTATAACACATTCCGAACTGCCGTTGTGCGAGGATCTCCGCATCGTTTCGTTACATCCCAAATCGATAACTGGTAACTTTATTTGTTTCTTTCATTCCTATTAGACACATGTGTACTCCATGGTTAAAGAAAACGTGTTCTGATAATTTTGGAGCGTGAACAAGATGCCGATAAATAGATCATAGAGAAGAAGGGTGCAGAGAGAAAAATGCATATACACCTCAAATATCGGTTCACGGCACACGGTTCGGAACGTGTTAAACCAAAATCACCACATTTCAAACCAAATTCACCACTTTTCAAACAACACCATCACTTTTCAACCCAACATCATTACTGTTTGCACTGAGAAGAGCACGTCCAGGGAACTCGCACACTGAGGTTGCCAGCGAGTAGTGGGGATGTTTTAAGGACTTTTTTCTTTCTTCTGCTCTGAAGAGACTCAGTGAATGCAGGTTCGTGAAACAGCCACTACCCACAGCATTCCATCGCGGGGTTTGCTTTCAAGAGCTCAGTCAACCATTAGAAAATGTATTCCAGATCACCTTCGTAATGGTTATAGCTTGTGGGGATGGTAAAAACAGCGAAGAATACTCTTCGCTCAGGATATTCGAGCTGATCGTAATGTTAGTAGCATTTATTTACTGTACCGCACATGGCAAGCAAGTCAGTACCGTGCAACTGCTCTTCTTCAATTTTTAATGTGGCTGACCTCAAAAATCTATATGTGGCTTCTCCTTCATGTTCGATTCGTTTATTTCTGGTTCCCAGAGTTGGCTTCTGAGATTAATATGACTATAATTGAGCATTTTTTCGGGGAGGACTGAGCGGTCTTTTACTGACTTTTTTCACTTTGCTAAAGTCGTTGTATAGTCACGGGCGAACTTCTGAAGTATGTAACTTAATGGCTTATGTGGCATAATTTTAATTCTTCACACCTTTCCAAGTCTTGGAATAATTGTAAAAAAAACCGTTTTGTGTTCTTTTGGATTATTTAACATGTTTCTGAGCCTCTTCGTTTAAGTAGTCCACTATCACTAAAGTTGGTGTGCTGTTGCTTCGCTTCTAAGAAGAAGTTTTTTTTTCTAGCAGCCCACAAGCTCTCGAATGATGATGGTCTTTCTTCGGGCAGGATACTGCTGTCATTTCGATGAATGAACGAATATAAAACGCTATAGATAGCCTGGTGAAAACACGGTATGAAAGACGATTTTCCCTTCATGCACAGCACATCACAGCATCTTGGAAAACCTCTTGTGATCCGCCACGGCATAAGAGGCTTTCCTATGGTTACTACTCCTAATAACGGCGCGATACCACCTGATTTCAAAAAGTGTGAAACGTTCCAATGACACGGCATATTTCTGAGTCTTGTATAAAAGTTTCAATTGAGAAATACTCTAGCTTACACTGAGCACTGTCTTTAACAGGTTTTTAAGAGTTTTTTCTTATCAAGCGATGTATGGATCAAAAGTCAGAGCTTGTAGCGTACAGAGGGAGGCGCTTTTTCAATCTTCAGTATTCAGAGAGATAAGAAATCATCGCTGATAGTGACCTTTTTTACTCAGCTGCGAAATTAGCTTCCCGAAATCTAGGTTACTCATTAGAATGTGATCATGGCTCTAGGTTGTTTAGTTGGTGGACTTACTCCATTCAATATTCATTGCAGTTTGAGCACTGGTTTCTAGAAACCCAAAATTAATATAAAAAAGTTATAAGGGAGGCACTGCCTAGTGGCAGGAAATAAAGCAACATAAGCGTCTCGAAGACGCAATACAAATTCTTAGCCCCTGTAGGACAAGAAAATGGGCTACGCATCCTATTTATGTGGGTAATTCAGCTATATTGGTGCAAAGAGATAATGTTGAATTGTATTTAGAATTAATCAAGCAATGAACCTGTTCTGCAAACAGGATTGAGCGCCATGTTGTGAGGCACGCATACAAGTGTTCGGTCGCCTCCCACCCACAAGGAACACGTAATTGCAGCTTTGCATTGGGCGTCCCGCCGTATCTAATCGATGCCTGCGCTGAGGCCGCCACCAGACACATGGATCGCAGGGTGACTAAGACCCCGCGTGTTGTGCTATCGATCGCGTTAGACATAAGGCAAACGTAGCAGATGCCAGACAAAGAGAAATCGTCCCTGCACAGCCGTCACTTCACTTCGCCTAGTGTCCCCGTGCGCAATAGCCGCTAGGGTTCCAGGCGCCTTCGACATTTATCTTTTTAGTTTAGTTAGTTGGTTCATATTATAGGTTACAATTTGCCCTTCAGAGAAGAGCGCTCTTTTGCATAACTTGACTTACAAACGATGAAATCGCACTTAAAAAGAAAAGTCCAAAGCAAGCGTTGATGTCTGGTCATTACTGAGCTAGTAGGACTAGAAAAAAGGAATAACAAATCTAACGATGTAACGAGAGTATGAATAACTCATACATTTGTAACAAGTCATTAAATTTTTATACATAGGGTGTAATAGGCTAGTGGCACATAGAGATAGTGATCTGGCACCTGCCCTAGAGCTTCGATCGGTAATAAGGCTACCCCTCCCCATAGTCAGTGAGTGCAGCATAAGGGTGCTATGCCCCACACATTGTCTCATACTTAAAGGCACGTATCAGTGATGGGTGATGGGGCTTAAATACTTATGAAAAGGTGGTAATTGACTCAACAGTGGCGAAAAGAGCAGGAACCTCTCAGAAATGTTCTAGGTAGATCCTCCATGCCGAACTGAGCTTATATGAGCATAAAGGGAAGAGAGCGTCGCCGGCAATGTTGGTTGTTTTTGAAGCTTCATACTAACCAGCTCTAAACTTACACATGGATTCTTGTTTACTTTTCAAAACCCTACCAATCTATAACCTCTCTAAAATCTGAGGAAAGCATGGCCAATCAGTTGGGTGGCACGTTAATGCCAGCGGTCTTGAGATGTAGCGGTTCAGCCGCTCAAGATACGCTACTCATGATAAGCAACAGCAGTGTCAACATCAGCATCAGGCCCACGTTTCAAGCTTGCTGTTTAACAACAAGTCGAAGTGACCAAAAGTCGTAACTTAATCAATGAAATGCAGTACTTCCCCAGAAGTGGCGCACTGAACCATCGAAAGAGTTCTTTGGTCAGCATGTGAGGCTGCTCAAAAGTAAACGATCACGGTAGAAGAAGCTAGTGCAGACCGTTAACCTGAACGAAGCACACTGGGGAGTCTAACTAGGGAAGGTCGTCAGGTCGAAGTGGCCATTTGTGATGAGATGTAGATCACTAGACGTGGTTTTGGACGCTGATCTGCCTTCAAAATTTGCAAAGCGATTCTCTGAACGGAGTTATGGAGCCGCGTTTACCACGCAACAGGTCATGGGATCGGATCCCTGCTGAGCTTAACTTTTTTGCTTGTTGCGCAAACGTGGCAAAAAGTGATTTTGCCGTCACTACTACTTCAGTTCTCACCTGAGCTTGTCTGAAGAAAAGTTTGCCTCCATTTATTACTGCGCTTGGACTCCTTGTAGAAGCACTGTAGTGCACTGTAGTCTACAAGGAGTCCAAGCGCAGTAATAAATGGAGGCAAACTTTTCTTCAGACAAGCTCAGGTGAGAACTGAAGTAGTAGTGACGGCAAAATCACTTTTTGCCACGTTTGCGCAACAAGCAAAAAAGTTAAGCTCAGCAGGGATCCGATCCCATGACCTGTTGCGTGGTAAACGCGGCTCCATAACTCCGTTCAGAGAATCGCTTTGCAAATTTTGAAGGCAGATTCAAGATCAGCGTCCAAAACCACGTCTAGTGATCTACATCTCATCACAAATGGCCACTTCGACCTGACGACCTTCCCTAGTAAGAAGGGCTGTAGGAACGTAGCCTTGTTTCTCCAGGAAGCGCTCTGAAAAAGATCGAGAGACTGAAGTGAGAACCGAAATCCATTTTATCATAGATAGGACGCTGAAAGGAATGAAGAAGTCATAGCAATAACCGAATCGCCCAAGACGTACAGGCCTGCCGGCAGGTTCGATGATTGAAGTGTGATAGTAGACAACGACAATGGGTATAGCAACCTGACCCAGTGTCCCTTATGTACATCACACGACATGCAGAGTTGAAACTGATCAAGACAAGAAGAGAGATCAGGAAGACAAGACTCCTTGGTCCAAGTCATGAAATCTCATGAGAAGATTCCGCTAGGGAAGACCTCGCTACTCAACAGAGTTGCAAAATGCTAAGGAGGATGTAGCTGAAGCACGTAACATCAAAATGAAAATCACCGGACGCTCGAGATTTGAGAAGTAGACAAGTACTATTTCCGCCAGATTGGAGCTCGGCGAGTCACTCAAGACGTCAGAGAAATGAAGGTTGCACGAAGCAGCAACCGAAACATTCGGAGAAATGCGGCCTAACGGGAAAAACCCAGCTCAAAGTGGTCGTCCGTAATTAGACATGTTCTACAGACATATTTTGGGCGGTGATCTTGTACATAGTTACCAGATTTACAAGAGATTCTCTGAACAGCGATAAGAGCACTTCCCTCCTCACTTCGAAGTATTACTGATTCCATAAAAGCATGTCGAGCAAGTCAGTGGACGGAGCAAGTTTGCAACTATAACCGTGTTTATAGAGAATTTGGTTTGCGGAATCGACGTCAGGGATTGTACTTAGCCGGTTTTTTCTTTGCATGTTTGGTTTCGCGAAGGTGATTTGTTATCGTCACCCTACTGTTTCTTAATCGCATTTCGCTTTCCAATGCTTCGAAATGAGTTCTTTCGAACTGTTCACTTTTGAGATTATCGCTCATGTGGCTTACCAGAGATCGCCCCGGAAGAAACACTTGTACATATACAGTAGCACTCAAAAGTATTGGACAAACGGTTCTTTGCTCACAAATTTAGGTGTGTTATATCTATCACTGCGACAACTAATCAGCAGTATTAGTCTCTGAAGATGGTGCAGGTTCCGCAATTATTTCGCGCAACGACTGTCTTCAGTGTCTACTTTGTCCATCGTACTGTTCACTTTCTCGAGTGTTGAAGAGTATTACATGTTTTTTGGGTGGCACAAGCGAATTCTGTTTTTGCAGTGACTTGGAAGGAGACCTTAACTTCGACACCGAAAAAATTACCGTGATTTTGAAAAAATGAAGGCATAAAGGTGCGCATTTCCCGAGTATTCTGGAAGTTTCTAAACGGATAGTGCTATCGTGTTCACAACATTGAGACGGTAGCCATCGTTTCGAAGAAAGTTACATTACAGTTCACATCTCACCGGGATAAACGCATCACCCACCGCTCACAGGCTGTTTTCAAGACCACCTGCGTCGACTTCGCAGCCAAAGTTCAAAATATCAATGGGACGAATTTGATAAGTGGATCGCCGGAAAAACTTTGAGAGTCACAGGGTTGTATGGTACAGTGCAGTTCTCAGCGGACGGTGGGGCGGTCCTAAGGCCACGCTGGCTAGCGGCCCGATATTTGCCTGTTGGTCGAAAGCCGCAATAACCTTGCCCCTGCGTCTCTGACACTGACTCTGCGCTCTAACGCACGCCGCCGCACAATCTACCCACTCTCCCGTTCTGGACTCTCGCCGATCGATAATTGCTCCAGCAGCTGATTTTGCGGCACTTTCGCAGTATTTTTTCTACATTCAGCTTGAAAAGCTGAGATTTTTCGACTTTCGGCTTCAATCGTTAAAGGTGAGTATTCTTACTAAAATTGTATCACAATTTGCATGAATTTAGCTTGAAATTCCCCTAGAAAACATTTTTTTCCTTCTGATTTTCTTCACTTCTTCACATTTTCTTCACAGGCGACTTCAGAATAGAGTCAGAGATGGTTCTCGATAATAACGAGATCACATCTAAGACACTACTTCGAAAACCCGGTTCAATAACATAAAAGAAGTGGGGACAATAAGGAAAAGTTTGGACGAATTGCGAAAATCAGAAGGAAAAATGTTTTCTAGGGGAATTTCAAGCTAAATTCATGCAAATTGTGATATTTTAGTAAGAATACTCACCTTCAACGATTGAAGCCGAAAGTCGAAAAATCTCAGCTTTTTCAAGCTGAATATGGCAGGAATTCGGAGAAAATGCGGCAGGAATCAGCTGATCGGCAGCGTCAGCCATTATCGATCGGCGAGAGTGCAGGACGGAAGAGTGAGTAGAGGGTGTGTTAGAGCGCAGAGTCAGTGTCAGAGACGGAGAGGCAATGATGATAATTTCCTACAATTTCTCGGCTTTCCATCGACACGCAAGCAGCGCCGGCGTGGTCGTAGGGAACGCCCCACCGTCCGGTGAGCGCTCCACTGTAAGTGTGTGATCGACCAAGCGCTTTCAGATCAAAGAATCGAACGGTAAAAATAGAGGTCGCTGTTAGCCACTTTTACTGAACATCTACACTGATGAATAGGACATTTCCCCTCTCTACCCCTCCCCCCCCATCGTTGGATGTTCAATGAAAGTGGCGGGGAACGACCTCTACTTTGACCCTTAGATTCTTTGAGGTGCAGCAGCGATTTTTGAATTTCACACTTTTCACATTCAACCATAGCGATCTCAGTGTTCTTCCTACAGTCCTTTTACTAATATTTTTCTCATTAATGGTAATGAACTTGATTACGAAGTCGATAGAAACGCTCTTGAAATCAGCTAGGGGCGGTGAATGATGCGTTTTCCTGGCAAATAGGTGTCAATTATATGCTGACGGTCTTCAAACGTAGACTATGGCCTTAGTGGTGCGAACATGATCAAGAATCGATGGTACTGTGCTTCCGCAACTTTCAGCATACTCGGAGAAGGCGCATTTCCATGCCGCCATTTTTCATGTTCGTAAAATCTTCTTCTCAGTGCTGAAGGTTCCAGTAGTATATGTATTATTGAAAAAAAAACCAGCGGTTTGTCTTGGCACTCAATAATAGTGCCGTTAAATAGCTCAGAATTCGAAAAGTGTGAGTGAAAATGTGAGTTTCGGTGGCCTTCTAGACAGTGGAATTAGCTGTCAAAGAAAAATCTCTCATTTCACTGGCAACATTATTAGTTATGACATACTGAAACTTGAGAGAAATTGGTCCGGTGAGAAGAAAGCATTGCGAAACGCTCGGCCGAATGCTGCTAGCGCTCTGTATGTGTGCAAGTGTTTCGTCCAAGACAACCCTCAGGCTACGCCACATGAACTTAATTTTCGAAGTCGAACTGTTCGGAAAGAGCGATCTCAAACGTGTCAACAAGCGATAAGATGACGATACAAACCACCCTCTAAGGGGGAACACAGAAGTGCAAAGAAAAACATGTCGCAGGATGCCAACACTGTCATCAGTTCTGC